ATTGGCCATCTGCAGGCTTATCTGGTAAGAATTTTAATAAAACTGAACCATGAAGGTATTTTTTACTATTTTAAAATTACACTTTGTATTTCTTATTTTCATTCATCATTTACCTAGGACATCTCACTTAACCACAGAATTCTAGCACTGCCATTCCTGCTTCACCACCCACACCCCTCACTGTCTTTCTTCCCTCTTTCTCTTGTTAGGTAGAAATGGGTCTCCCACACAGTCTCTTCGATGAGCTGTCCTAACTGTAAAAAGTTATTACTGGAACATTACTGGTCTACATTTGTAAATGATTGCTCAATTTAATAGGCAAGGCACTATTAAATAGAAAACACTAAATTAGTTTCAGTGAAATTTCTTGATATGATAGATTATATAATAAATGCAGCTTGTCACAAGAATACACTTACATATATATATATGTAAAAGTATATATAAAAAAAGTATATATATATATATATATATACTTTTGCTTTTCAATATTGCCAGTTAAGTACCATAGTACTAAAATATGCCCAGCATGATAGCATAGTGGTTAAAGTCCTTGCCTTGCACGCGCCAGGATCCCGGTTCTAATCCCAGCGGCTCCATTTCCCATCCAGCTCCCTGCTTGTGGCCTGGGAAAGCAGTCAAGGACGGCCCAAAGCCTTGGGACCCTGCACCCATGTGGGAGACCTGGAAGAGGCTCCTGGCTCCTGGCTTCAGATTGGCTCAGCTCCAGCCGTTGCTGCCACTTGGGGAATGAATCATTAGACGGAAGATCTTCCTCTCTGTCTCTCTTCCTCTCTGTATATCTGACTTTCAAATAAAATAGAACAAACACTAAATAAACCAGGAAAATAAAAATTATTGTTTCATGAAATCTATATAAAACAACAAGATGAATTAGCTTTTTCATCCATTCTAACATGGCTGTTCCTTTTACTCAACTGCAGTGTAGTCTTTCCTAATAGACAGAGGTCACAGGCATTGTGCATTACAGTGGGACACTTAATTTATAGCTCTTTGAATTTCATTTCTAAAGGAACGGTCTCTTCCCTAATACCTGTGGTGTTCAAATTTATGATTAATATTTTATGAGGGAGTACACATAACACCTGCAGTGTATGTGTATATATATATATACATACAAATATATACATATATTTGCTGTGTATATTTTAATAAATTAAGTCCTAAATTGTGTATCACAAAATTTGGAACTAAAGCAGCAAGAGAGAGTTGGAGTTTTTTCATGGAGGGTAAAGCCAGTGCCCTGAATACCAGCAAAACATAGGTGCGGAAGTTTGTTCTTTGCTGCTCTGCTACTGACCCAGGTCTGTGCTAACATCCCGGGTTGCCTACGTGGGAGACCGAGTTGAAGCATCTTACTTTGGCTTAACCAATGCATTGGCAGCTGTGATATTCCAGGGGTTGAACTATTGGATAGATTTCCTTCTCTATCTCTCTGTTTGTCCCTCCCTCTCTGATTGGGACTCTTTCAAAAATAAACAAATGAATATTTAAAAAAAAACTATAAAATATATTTCCATGTAAAATGTGCTTTTCTTATAATCCCTGGAACTACATATTTAACTTCAATTACTTATTGCTCATTCAATGTTCCTTTCCACAATGGTATAGGATTTTGAGTTCAGGTACTGCATTGAATGTTTCCATTATTCTAGTGACAGATACTTATTTCTTTTTCTCTCACCAGAGAAAACCAGGATATTGTCTCTTCAAGTTCAAAATTCTAAACATTTGTCCATTTAGGACAGTATTTGAAGTTGCTCATGACTGGAATGTTGATAAACACTGGGAAAATCATGAATGTATGTTCCACATTGTAGATAAAACACTTTTTTCCTTTTGAAAGCTCACTTCCTATCCTATAGCGCCTTTTTTGCAACCATAGACATTTCTACATCACGAATATTGCATGCATACACCTTCGTGGAGCCCTAGTCTATGTAGTGTCTCTAAATACAACTCGAGCAAATGTTGTTACTGCTCCTGTATGCGTTATTGAAGACCATACAGATTTTATTTAAGCTTGCTTTACTTTTGATGCAGAATTTTGTTGAATGACTCCTTTCCATCCTCCACCCACATCTTCCCTAGAGAATCTTCAGTACCCTTAAATGAACATTTAGCATTATTACCAGTTAGTTTTAATTAACTTCATATCCTTGAATGATGGTGTACTAGATGCTAGGAAAAATAATTTAAACAGATCTGATCTCTGCCCTCTAGCAATTACATATTAAAGCATGATGGAATGAGATGCTATTTTTAATTGGCCAAGCCTTACAAGTATACGTTTTTTCATCTAAAACTTTCCTGAAAACTAGGCAATTCAATTGCTTTCCTCCACAAAGTTTTGTTTAATGATGGCCAGGAAGTAAGTAATTGTTCTCTCTCTCTCTCTCTCTTTTTTTTTTTTTTAATTTGTAAGAATTTGAAAGTGACCTTGACAGTTAACAACAATCAGTGCCTGGCAGCCAGGGTGCAATATTCTTAATAAATGTGTACTATTTTTCAGGAAACAATCCACAGTCAGATGAAGGCACTGTTATTTTCCTGTGGGAGTGGATGAGGCAAGCATAAATCCACCCCATGATTAATCATTGTATCATTAGCAAATCTATTCCTGCTTTAATAACCGTTTTCTAGGAAAAATCACTAATATTTCCACGCCCAAAGCGCAGCCAATCACGTCAGCACTCAACCTGAAGTCTCTTTAGAATACAGGACACAAGTCTGAAACCTGTAACGACTTTCTTCTACCTCAGCGACATATCTGCTACCTTTCCTTCCTAGTGACAGGAATCTTAATCTAAGTTTGCTTAACTATTAATGGGGTCTTGCTGATCTCTAGATGACAACAATCATCAACAATCCTTATGACTTGATTTTTCTATGACATTATGTTTATTATGTGCTGAAAATAACCATAGTTAAAGCAGTCTTTTTGCATATACCCAACAAAATTCAAATGAATACTCTTTCAAATACCAACTCATACAATTTATTATGTATCTAAAGACCTAATGATAAAACAGGAATAAACAGCAGAGTGGAAGCAATTGACATTTATTCAAGTCCATTACATGCCATTAACTGGACTTAAGTTGTCTCCTTACAAGAATTCATTTTCTTACTTACAAGCAAATCCTCATAGGGATTAATTCTCCAGTTTACAATTAAATCTCAAGCAATTTCAGTAATTTTCTCAAGGTCATGCTATAAACAAATGTTGAAATTTGGAGATAACTTCATTTGGACTGTTCTGCCTGTTTTCTTTCTGAATTTGCTTCAAGTAGAAAAGAAAGGAAATGGCTGAAACTAGCTCATTATAAAGTATATAAATGTCAATAACTAGAATATCCAGAATAATTAAAAATCAATGAGCACATCATAATAAGATTAGCACTTATCCTCTGAATACTAAAAAATAAGACCAGTTTTCTTGGCAATCCCCTGATGTCTTCACTTAATATTCTTCATTTTTCCCTCACTTAATTTTACTTTGGTCTCACTAATTTGGCGTATCCTTGCTGTTTCTAGAAAAAGAAATAGGATACATACTGATTCCAAGGGACTTTATATTACTTTCTGCATTAGATACGTACACCCTAACTTCGTTTTGCTTCCACACATCATTTGTTTTTCTTGTGTAATTCTTACTAATTTGTAACATACAAAATACAGTCTTTCTCGATTTGTTTTTCTGACACCCTTATCTAGAACTGGCATATACTATTGCAGGTGGAAAATCAATTGGGGGGAGGAACTTGGAGAGGGAATAAGGAAAATTTCAGAGGCTATAGAATTAAAAATAATATAGAAAGGATAAAACAAAAATGGCATAAGAAAATGAAGTGTATTGTTGATTTGGGGGAGGGAGGGTTGTAGTGAGTTTGATACATGGAGATGGTCTTCATTTGGCTTATCATGCTTTTGGAAGCTTTTGTAAATGCTGTAATAATATGGAGAGAATAAGTGAGGGGAGGAAGCTTCAGAGGGGGTAAAGAAAAATTCCAGAACCTGTGGAATTGTATCATAAAATTAAAAATGGTATTCGTTAAATTCTTATTGAATAAATAAGAACAAAATATAATGAGGCAAACTGGAAAAACAGCATCACATTATTTACAATTTAGCATCATCACTGATGGTAAAGTCAACCAAATTTTAAAAATCAAACAAAAAAAAGTAAAAAAAAACCTTCATTATTTGGAAAATCAAATAATACAGTACAGAAAATGTTATCTTGTCTATCACTTCATGTTGTGCCTTACATATTTTATCACATTCGCTTTCATATGTATAAATTGCACACCCGTCCCTTGGACCTGGCAAGCACTAAAAATGCCTGACTCAAAGGCTATAACCCGCTATTTGCATCATTCAGCCTCTGTAATCTTGTGACAATCCTGTTTATCTTGCTAATATGGGTGATGAAGAAGTTAGTACTGCTAATACTGTTCCTGGTTCAGCATCACACCACGGTTCACATTTGTTTGCTAAGATTATTTTGGTGTAACATGAAGAAAGTATCACGGCTCTGCCCCTGAACTGAAATACACCAAGCGTATCTCACCAAGAACTTAAAAATCCACTCAATGTTTAAGGTATAGATTGGAAGCCTCATTTGTATGTAACAATTGTTGCAATATACTCAAATGCAACAAGATTTTTTTTAAATTCCCAGCTTCCCATGATTTTGTCAAATTACCATCATTCTCTCTTAACCCATGAACATACATACATTAAACCTTTAAATATGATTGTGAGTAGAAACCTTGTAAGACTCTCTATACTGTCAAGAACGACAACCCAAAAGTCTTCTCTTTAAGAGTGATTAATATTCCGAGTAATTTTTATATCATGCTGCTGAAGATTATGCCATTTGCTATAATTTCAGATAGTCTCAAATTATTTGAAGTGCAGATGAAGAGACCTGCCATTGAGATACCTTATCAGGGGGAGGATCAGTAGTTACTTACAATGTATTTCTAGCACCTGCATAGCAACCTGAGGGGTGGCATTGAGGGATTCATGGTCAACCCGGCAGATCACCGCCACTCCATCATCGCTGCGATCCACTCGGAAATCCAGAGTGCTGCTAACAGTGAATGTCTTGCGGTTCGCATCCTCTTCTTTCAAATACTTTACATCTGAAAAGAAAAGTAGAACATAATAGTATTTCTTTGTCATAATGACAAAGACTATCCTATTGTAATAACATGGGGGAAAGCAGTGGAGGGGGAGAATGGGAAGGAAGATAAGGAGGTCAAGGGGAGAATCCCCATATCTACAAAATTGAGCCATGGAAAATAATAATAAAAGAATTAGATATGTCATCTATCTCAATTTGGTCAAGTCAAGTAAATACTTTAAAATAATTTGAAGGTTATATACAGAATGTGGACAAAACCTTTTTGTTTCTTTTTGTTCTCAAGTTTGCCTAGTTATAATCAGGTGTAAGATATTTTTAATATTCCATATATATTCTATATAAATATCATTTGTATTCATATAGACATATGAGCCATTTTAAAGAAGTAATGTTCCTTTTCTCTTAGATGTAAGTTTTACAAGAAAGGTAATCATACTTTGTTGTGGTGTTAGGTAGCTAGTTCAGGGTCACGAGCTTGGAAGCCACTTCCCACTGCACTCCCAACCTATGTAGTCCTTTCTGCCAGCCTGCGCTGCTCAATTACCCCCATCTGGAGCCTTGAGAGGTGGGAGGATTGCATTGTTGCACAGCCAATCCCTTCACAAGCCCCCATAAAGGTGAAACAAGCTTGGTGGTAACAGCACCAAGTAGAAGTTAGCAAATGACAAGTCTAGTGGCAATCCAGTCTAAATGGAAACCCTGAGAGGAACAAATTATCATTACTGTGAAACCCACACATTAAACTGAAGACTCATGTCCCAAATTCCCCTGCAATATAACTTATTCTAAGAGACATGCAGTGAACAATATGGACAGACTTAGAAAGCCGCAAACATTCACCTTTTCCTGGCTTCTCTGTCCATATTTCATTACTGCTAGGCTTGACCTTTCCTGGAACTCTTGAAAGTACACAAACTGGAAATTAAAAGCTTCTTTGCATTCGTTTCTTTACTGTCCAGCCCAAGTAGTGAGCACAGGGTTAAGAATATAGACATATGGGGACCCAAATGTCTGTGGGAAGCCAGAGAGTAAGCACGTGGGATACAAGAGTGATCAAAGCACTACCAAGAAAGCAGGCTCCTTGCTATCATGGGCCTTTTCGGGGCTTGACTAATACTGACTCTTTAATATACCCCAGTCTTGTCTGGAATGATCTTGCTTACACCCTACAACAAATTAACTGAGCCATAAATGTCATTGCAGAGAGGAACTTTTAAAATATCTGGCTAGGTGTAAATGAAAGTAAAATGTTTTTTTGAGTTACACTTTTTACATGACAAATGTGGGGAAACAAAAGCACTATAAAAATGCTTAAAATGAAAGGCATTATTATTTTTTTAAGATTAACTTATGCTTATTGGAAAGGGAGATTTTTAAGAGAAAAAGAGAGGGACATCTTTGTTCTGCTGGGTCACTCTCCCAATGGCTGTAAAAGCCAAAGCTGAGTTTATCTGAGGCTGGGAGCTAGGAGCTTCTTTGCAGTCTCCCAGGTGTGTGCAGGGGCTCATGAACTTGGGCTATTCCTTGCTACTTTCGCAGTTCATAAGCAGAGAGCTGGATCAGAAGTGGAGAAGCAGGATACAAACTAGTGCCCATACAGTATGCTGGCATTACACTGAGAGGATTAACCTGCAGGTCACCGGGCTGGCCCTGGAAGTCGCAATATTTAGTAAAAAGAATGGGTTCTGTCCTTTGAATAGTTTGAAAATTTAAATGCATATTTGCATGAATTTTTCTCTGAGAAAAAGCTCTCCTTTTGGCTGAGGAACTGATTTCAGTATCAATGAGAATGCCTTCTTTAACATGTGAATTCACTACTCAACATTTAAAATTCTTGGGCATGCATGATTCACAGCCATCATTAAATCATTCTCTTAGAGATTATTTATGGAAGTGATGCTTAATAATATTTTCATTTAATTTGTAATCCTCAAGCCTGAAGTAGATAAGAAGTGGGTAATTTCAGAAGGTTAGGAAGCAAAGTAATAGGCTAAGGTTAAGATATTATAACAAGATCCTTAATGTCGTTGAGGAAAATGTGTCTGATTTTCTTTTCTTTATCTCACATTTTTCTCCAAAATTCAATACTAAATGAACAGTGATATTTGAGAACATGTGTTATGCATAAAATGCATGAAATATTTAATTTTACGATGGGTCAAATATGTTCTGGCTATGCTAATAAAAAACAGCAAATCTAAATTCAGTGTCACTATTTTTGTGCTTTATCCAAACTTTAGTTTTAAATAACATTAGTTGGACATCTTGCCTAGCAGTTAAAGCAATGTTTAGGATGACTACATGGAAGAATCCAACATTCATCCAGGATCTGCTTCCTAACTTCAGACTCAGGCTAAGAAGAATTCCTGGAGTCAGGGGTTGATGATCAGGTACTAAGCCTGGATTACACCACTGTTTGAGAGGTCTGAATTGAATTCCCTGCTCCTGACTTGGCCCAGACCAAATCCTGGTTATTTCTAGCAGTTGGTGAGTGACAGCACAAGAGCACTGTTTATACAGATGTCTGACTGGCTTTCTTTTTCTCTATGCTGTTTTTAATATTGGCTTTTAATACATATTTTTTTTCAGATTAATTTATTTTTATTGGAAAGGCAGATATACAGAGAGGAGAGACAGAGAGGAAGATCTTCCGTCCCATGGTTCACTCCCCAAGTGACTGCAATGGCTGGTTAAATATTAGATTCAACTGTAGGACAACTTCCCTTCTTAAGAATGATGCAGGGTCCAGCGATGATAGTTAGTGGTTAAAGTCCTTGCCTTGCACGTGCCGGGATTCCATATGGTCACCGGTTCTAATCCTGGAAGCCCTGCTTGCCATCCAGCTCCCCACTTGTAACCTGGGAAAGTAGTAGAGGATGGCCCAAAGCCTTGGGACCCTGCACCCACATGGGAGAGCTGGAAGAGAGAGCTTCGGACTGGCTTTGCTTTGTTGTAAAAAATTAGGATTGATCTTAGAGCTGAGGCTTATGTAACAAAGGCATAAAAGAAATTCTTCAGATAAATTCCCTAAAATCTAACCTTTTTTGAAGAAGATAATCACAGTTCATCTTTTTTTCTTCAACTGACATACAGTGACTATGTCTAGCTAATTCATTTAGTAATGCAGCTACATATTTTAAGACCCAATTTGCTTTTCATTTTATGCTTGCTTTAAACTTTCTCCAATGGCAACACGGGGAGTCCATTTCCTGTATATTACAATTTTAAAGTCTGATAATGCTATCTGTACACTGGAAAAAATCTTCAAAACATTTAGGAATATCTCATTCTCATCTATGAACACTACTTAACACACCTGTAATCATAAAGTGCCAGATTTTCAAAAATTCTTGTTATATTCAATTGTAAAAGCAGATGTCAGTCACAATCCTTAAAGCAATTATCCTGTTATTGACCTGCAATTTAGAATAATAGTTCCAATTGGCCAAGAAATTTAGCAAAATAGAACTTTTGTTAGCACATCTTTTTAAGACAGAATCTAATAAGGATGAAGCAGAAATATGTAATTTACCTAAATGTTTAAAATCTCTTTTTGATCATATCCATATTGTTACACTGGTTTTGCTTATTTATTTATTTTTAATTTATCTTCAGTGTTATCTCACAGGTCTATAATTAGAACTACTGTAAGAACCGACTTAGAGTCTTACTCTGATACTCATTGAGATTGTTTCAATACAAGTGGTATTAATAGCCACTCTTTGAGGAAAGTCAGCTTTCAAAATCTTACTCTCATACTCCCAAAAGATTATGGATCATTTGCTAAATAGATTTCAATAAGATAATTTTATTTTTACTTAACTTTAAGATTAGATGCTTCTCTATATTTGATTTACATTGAAGGATATGAGAATGTTGTGTCTCCAAATCCAAAGTCAACTACAGCTTAATGGTAGAACATTTTGAAACATACGACATTAGAACAGACAGGAAACAGTCAGCTTGGACTCCTGCATGCCTTACTAGGTGGGACACAAAGAACAATTACTCCTCACTAAGGTATTGAAGATTTCTCTGCACACCCTTCCTAAAACTCTCTGTTTCTCAATCGTTAACGTACGGCTCGCTAGAGTTATAAGCCTGTTTGGACTATCCTAAAATTCACTAAGTTCAGTAAAAATCATGCTTGAATACTATAAGCTGCTCAACATAAATATGAAGGAAAAAAAAAGACACAAGACAGCTGAATAGTACCCTATAACCATTTTAAAGTTTATAGCAATTGGTTATGTGTAAGCTAAATTGAGATGTCAATGAAACAGTTACAGGATATGGTTAAGAACTTGCATTTTCTAACACATTGGTCACTCAGTACCATGTCAATTAACTTTATGATGGTGTAAATTTTCACATTTCAACTTGTTGAATTTGTGTTGTGGCTTTTCATTGGTGGGAGTGATATTCTGCCAGCTCTACTCTCAGATCAAGGATGTTCTCCCAATTAAACTGTTGAATTTATCTGGACAATAAGATGCTGGACTCTCTGCATGGTCCATACCAGCAATGATGGAAGTATGACAACCTTTCTTGTGTCAGGGACACTGCTGATATTTTCCTTTTGATGAACCCAAAAGGGACACATTGTAGTATTTGCAAAGCTCCTTTTCCCAAACAGGAAAAACATTGAAGATAGTGACATCATATCATATTCCAATTTCCCTCCTTTACTCTGTGGGAAGAATTTGTACAAGGATGTGTGTGGTACCCTGAAGGAAGTCTCATCCAACTCTTCTTAATACATTAAAGTATATAAAAAATAGCTAGATGAAAAAGAGTACCTTGGGTATGTTTGATAGTTAACACCCAAACAGCAAATTAAAACTCAAGCATGTAATGAAACATTTCCTATCTTTGCAAGCTCTCAGAGAGCCAATGGACTTAGGAGGTGATATACACTGTCTCGCACAGTAAATGGCAAATATTCAGGTTTCCTTGCCATGGAGAATTATAACTTATAGAAAAGCCACCTGTGGATAGGATGCAGCATGTCCCAGTGGAACTAAATGGATTCTGGAGGAATACTCATGAATGGAGGGAAAATAAATCGGATCAAAGTATGAGCATTTTATTCTAGTGTTTGAACATTATAGAAAAAAAGGAGTTTGTTACCATTGCCTGCAGAATAATTCCAAATCTCTTATTCTGGTAAAAGTAAGATTTCACAGCTCATTTATGACATCTGTAGGCTGCCTGCTTAGTCATCTTTCATGCCTATGCTACTTACATAGTTTCACACGTAGTTAAAATCATTGTATGGCATTATTCTGCAATGCATCCCTAAAGTTTATTCACAATGCCTTTTCACTTACTTTATCCTCAATTCTGGGACAATTTTCATCTATTCTTTAAGCCAATCTACTGATTAAAGAGATATTTACTGAGTATCTATGCCCATTAATAAACTGCAGGGCTTCACTTTGCCCAGGAAGTAGGGCTGGTCACATCTTCTTCGATCTTATGTCCTACATGTATAAGACCATTTCCAAATGGTAAATGAAATCAAAAGCATGATTTTATTTTATTTGTATGCCTTTCTAAAGCTCACTTGGTGAGGATTACAATCCATTGATCATGGCATTCTGGAAATAGTAATCACAATCATGAAAATAATTATCTAAAAAGTTTTCAATGGTTTCTTGCATTCTGAAAACACTTCGTATATACGGATTCATACAAAATGTGCATTATCACTGTGAAATAAGCATTATTATCCTCATTTAGCGGATGAAACTCAAAGATGGGGCAGCATTTTGATATATATTACTGATAATTCACATGTATATTCCTTATCCAAACATGGTTCCAAACAGAAGCACTGGCATTGCTGACATATTTAACACAGAGTTAAAAATGCTCATTCTCAGGTTCTACCTCATATCTATTCATAAAAAATGTCATATAATCCCTGTATGTAAGGATAATCTTGGCTAATATTTGAGAACTACCTGTTCTACAATTCATTAGAGAAATACTCTAGTCAAGAAAATGTCAGTAAGTTGTAATTTTAAGAAACTTTTACCCTGGAACTTATAGCCACAACTCAAATGTTATGTAGAAAAAAGGTAAGAGACTTGCAGAAAAATACTCCTCGCTTTGTTTTTAAGATTTGTTTGTGTATTTTAAAAGCAGAATGACACAGAATCAACAGAGTCATAGAGAAAGATTCATATACATCTATATATATATATATATATTTTGGTTCAGTATATACATATATTTTGGTTCAGTTTAAATTGTCACAGGGAAGCAAGGAGTGTATAAATCCATCTAAATCTTACACATGGAAGACAGGGACTTGGGTGCTCGGGTCATTATCAGCACATTAGCAGGGAGCTGAAGCAGCACAAGCAAGAATCAAGCCAACACTCTGCTAGGGGATGCTAGTGGTGCAAGCAGGGCTTAACCCTCTGTGGGACGTCTCTGGCTATAATCTCCAAATTACCTTAAACATTTCCAGAAAAAAAAAATCTTGGCCTTCTATTTGGATATTTCTTAAGAGCAGCCAAATATTGTGATGCTCGGAGGAATTTTACTGATTTCTTATTGCCTTGCGTGGAATTGGATTTTGATCATATCTTTTTCCTTTGCTTTATATTACAAATTTTCTCTTCGTACTTGGATCATGCAATACTTTGTTAAAAATCATTAAATAGTAACAAGAGAAGAGTATTCATAGGGTAGTAATACAATTAATGTCCTCTCTGGCGAGCCAGCAGCACTCATCTTATTCATAAATATGCTGACATAATAAAGACCATGTCACTTCAAAAGCTCACTTCCTGGGTAAGGAAACAAACTGAACATCCAAAGGACTTATAAATGAATTGGAAGCTACATAGATGAAGGAGGTATGCATATGTGAAATAACTCTAAATGAATTGAAAGCTACATAGGTGAATGCAAGTGTAAAGATAATGATTGCTTTATTCATGGTTTTACATAGAAAGCATCATAATTTCTGAATACAGTACAGAACCACATGCCAGTTTGATCTATGCTAATGTGATGATTTTTCTTATCATTTTATATCAGGTGATTTTAATGTATGAGTTAATAAGATTCAAACCTTGCCTGTGTGTTAATATAAATCAATATTTTCCCTTTTCCAGTCCTCAGTACTTGATCAAATCCCATGCCGAATTGCTCAAAAGCAGAGTCATTTAAAAGAGATCAAACTTTAATAGTCAAGTCCTTTTATAAATTGCTGAATACATGGAGCTAGGGTTGTGTCTCAGCAGGCTATTCAACTACCTGCAAGTACTAACATCCTGTATGAATACTGGTTCATGTTCCAGCTGTTATGTTTCAGAGCCAACTCCCTAAAAAATCAGTGAAGGGTTCAAGTCCATGGGCCCCTGCACACACATGGTGTTACAGATTGGCTCAGCTCCGACTATTGTGGCTATCTAGGGAGTGAACCAGTGAATAGAAGTTCTTTCACTCTCTCTCCCCAATTCTTTCTGTAAAACTGCCTTTAAAATAAAAAGTATAAATAAGTATTTTAAAAATATTGACTATAATATGAGCTTTGTAAGGCTACAATGTTAAAAACAAGCAATCCATATTTATTAAGTACTTAATATATTAGCATCTGTAACATCCTGAAGGATGTGTTAGACTCTTGAAAAACAAATCAAATGTTGAGAAACTGATAACTAGTGAATTAATTATATCAAAATTAAAGGAAAAAAATATATAGGTAACACAAAATTCAAAGTTGCTCAATGAGCGCATTCAGGATTGATCAGGATCTTCATGCAACATAGGCATGTATGATGAGTAACACTTCACGGCCTGGGGAATATGTATGGACTACAGAAAGAGGATTGAACTTGGTCTGCTTAGAAGCATAACTGCCTAACAGAAAAAGGAAAAGAGTTAAGATGCTTGCAAAAGCTAACTCTAGAAGCAGTGCAGTAAGATTCATTCAAGAAAGGACTAAGTGCAAAAACACCTTAAACAAACACTGTGTAGCAGAATTAGAGAGGAAGCTACAGAGTCTCAGCAGGGCACAACAACCATGTTACACACTCGTAGGAAGAAAGTTCAATTTAGAATAGTCCAATGCGCACCTTGTGTGGCTCTTTGCTTATTTTTTCTCGAAACCTGTCACTAGAAGATATGTCTTAGATATTTTGAGACAAATGTATGGATTAGGGCAAAATGTTAATAAATCTTAGGGTGAAATAGAACATAAATAATTGCATGGATTGTAATCCTGTAATTTCTTCCAAATATAAGTGATTCTGTCTACTGGGCCTGAATACTCATTAATAAGAACTAAATTGTTACACTGACATAAGGAATTAGGATTACAAATTGGAAGAATTAGACTAATGCACATGGATTTGTTTTAAAGATTATTTGGAAAATAATATTACAATGTCATTAGAAACATGTTTTAATAGTAACTATAAGCAATTTTTTGATACAAAAAAGGTGATGCAGTTATAAACATCTATATGTGAGAAAATGAAAAAGAAATAATACTAGCCATCACTCAGATAAATTTATACTTTCCCTGAAAGAGTGAATGTATGTTGTGGGGAAGGGAAAATATAAATTTAGTTAAATATAAATTTAAGTATCTATCTATCTATCTATATACTTAGTATATATATATACAACTAAATTTATATACTAAGTATATATATATATATACTTAAACTATGATGCAATTTTCACTGAGACAAATTAATTATTTCCCCTTCTGTAAGAATTACTAGGAGATAGCGTTGTTGATTTTTATCCAGTTTTGTTATGAGAACTTTGTATTTCCAGAAACCAACAAATTGAAGGAATAATTGATTTAATTTCTGTCTAAATATTGAACAACATATTAAACATACATTTAATGCTATCTATTGTTAACTATGAATCTATATATTTTTCCTATCCAAAGCTCATTTATTTCTTCTACTTTCCCATGTGTTATAAATTTTCATAATTGTGTTACACAAGGAGAAAGTACAGTACAGTTTATTTGAATGTAATTAAGACACCTTGTCAACGAACTAGTAAGTAAATAAGATTTAATGTATATTAAATCAGAAGGCTATACTGTAGCTTTAAATATGGAAAACAACTTTGATCTTAGGATACCACCATACCTCAAATACAGTACTTTGATTAAACAATTTTACCCATTCTTTACCTTTAATTTCTTTGTCATTTTTGAACCATCTTATATCAGCTGCAGGTTTACTGCCAGATGTTTTACAAGTCAGCTGCATCAGGTCTCCCTCCATAACAGGTGATGAAAATCCACTAATTTGAGGCTTCTCAGGAACACCTGAAATTTGAGCAAATAAATCATGTAAGGATCAGTCTCCAGGGATGTTCACAACAATTACTTCCTCACAGGAAGCAACATCGGGTGAGTGAGTGGCAATGCATTTAATGAAGATGAATGAGCTGTTATATAATATAATAAGCCACTTTAGATATGTTTGTGATGTACATATCCAGAGACATGTGCAATAAGAACTCACATTGTGTACTGTTTGGAATTGCATACACATAACAGAACATTAAAATGCTGATGGCAAATGAAACGGTGAGTTTATTTTGCTGTCAAATCTTTCACAAATCCATAAATACTCACATACAATGACCAGCATTTAAAATGAACATATTTCAAAGCAATTTCAAAAATTATCTAGTAAAAACTTAGCTGATCATATATTCTATAAATTCTAAAAAGCAGTTTTAGGATTTGCTGCCCTGCGGATTTTTGCAAGGAGATTGTATTTGAGAAAATGAATTCAGAAAATACTTTGTCATTAACCAATCATAATTAAACTAAAGCACCAGCTTTCTTTTAAACTTAGAAAAATATTATTATTATTATTATTATTATTATTATTCGGTCTACTTTGCTCTGGAAAATGAACTTTAGAATAAAAGATTCAGGGCACAGTGCAGTAGCCTATTGGCTGAAATCCTAGCCTTGAACACATGAAGCTCCCATGTGGGCGCCAGTTCTAATCCTGACAGCCCTGCTTCCCACTCAGCTCCCTGCTTGTTCCCTGGGAAAGCAGTTGAGGAAGACCCAAAACCTGGGGACCTTGTGGGAGACCTGGAAGAATCTCTAGGCTCCAGGCTTCGGGTCAGCACAGTTGTGGTAGCTGCTTGGGGAGTGAATCATTGGACAGATTTTCCTCTGTCTCTCCTCCTTTCTGTATATCTGACTTTGCAATAAAAATAAATACAATTTTTTTAAAGAATAAAAATCCATCATTAATTACAACTTTACTTATTTTTTCAGTGCTTCTAATCAGGAAAATGTCTTTTGATGCTGTTTATAAGAGACTATTTTTAAAAGATTTATTTAATTATTTCTTAGATTTATTTATTTTTTATTGAAAAGCCAGATATACAGATAGGAGGAGAGACCCCAAGGCTTTCGCTGGTCCTTGACTGCCCTCCCAGTTCACAAGCAGGGAGCTGGATGAGAAGCAGGGCATCCAGGATACACACACACACACACACACCTTTGGGAAAATGGCCCAATACTGGTGTGTGTGTGTGTGTGTGTTTCAAATGTGCATATTTTATATATACATTAATATATTTATTGCATTATATATAAAGTATTATATTGCATATAAAATATATGTGTGTGTTTCATATGTATAATACATATATGTGTGAAAAAAGAGAAGTACAATTGTAGTTTAGTGAAATATACTGCTTAATGCTAAGCACTATTACTTTTTCAGGCTATTCCAGGGAACAGGTTGCTAATATGCAGATAGTGAGTAGTTTACTACTACAATATTACATATATACCCTGAACAATAATGTTGTTTTCCTGTTAGAAGCTTGCTTAAATAGACTCTAGAATTACTCAGTAATAAAGGTTTACTAAAACATCTATTGTTCTACTTAATTCAGCTCAAGAACTGCAAATTAGGACCCAGTATGATGCTTCAATTGGCTAATCCTGCCGTTCCCCATGCTGAAATCCCACGTTAGTGCCAGTTTGTGTGCCAGCTGCTCCTTTTCCCATCGAATTTCCTGTTTGTGGCCTGGGAAAGCAGTAGAAGATGGACCAAGGCTTTGGGACCCTGAGCCTGTATGTGTGGCCTTCAGGGAGTTCCTTGTACCTGGCTTCAGTGAGCTCAGATCCAGCTACTGTGATTATTTTAGGAGTGAACCAGCAGATGGCAGATCTTCCTATCTGTATCTCCTCTCTGAAAATCTGCCTTTCCAATAAAAATAAATCAATATTTCAAGAAATGAAAATAACTATGAATTAAATCTTCAAGAAGAATGGCAAAACAAGAACTGTCAGACTGGTATGCTTTCACTAAGGGACTATCTGTTGGGTTGTGCTTTTCTCCTTTGTTTCTTTTTTCCCCCCTTGGATTTACCTTTATGCTGTTGCTTTCATTTTTTTAACTCTATGTCACATTACCATTTACTAAACCAAATTCATCCGTCATTCAATCTTTGGTTTTCAACAATAACGTGTTCATCTTTGAAAATTGTTCTGAAATACCACATTGTAGTGGTATACATTTTCCTTAATGGCAAACTTCTGAGGCTTTTTCAGAAGCAGTCCCAGTGAAACTTGCAAGGAAACATATTTTATATCCTATGCACAAAACCAATTCATCTAACTGGATTAACTTTAATATTCTCACCCGAAGAACAGGATGTATTAGTCCTTTTAAAAGCAACATTGTGCCCTTATCTAAGTAAAAAGGAAGGCAAGCTAGAGGTTGAAAAAAAATCAATCTTTAAATTCCTCTAAGTTGCTCAGTGCACAGGTGTGTTTCAATGAACTGCAGCAATTTTAGCTGATTGGGGCACTGACGCCTGCAGAATCACTGAGAGCTCCAAACTGCAACTGTATTTCCTCAGAATCCCTTATGAATGTGTTGCTTTTTTGTGTCACTTTAACCTTTGGGAAAATGGCCCAATACTTAGAGAATAAAGCATAAAGAAGCTACAAGGTGCATGTACAAGTGACAGTGCATACTTCATTTAGAATTCTGGAAAATATATATTTCAAAGGAAAGAAGTCATAAGGAAATGTCAGGGCCACTTACAAGCACTGAACTACATAAAGTGGGTCTATTTTAACATTCTTAGGAAAGGTCTCTAACAGATGGCATACTATAAAGAAGAAGCACACTATAAATACAAGTTGAACACAATGTCCTGCCACTCTATCAACAGATACAAATGTATAAAATACATAGATGATTTGATCGAAAAAAAAATTAGGCAGAAATCAAGATAAGAACTCTTTATTACTGGCTAAGTAACAAGAACATTATGTGTGCATCATGGGTGTCATATTATCTTTAAACCATCTTTTGTCCATTTATAAAATGGAAAATTGAACAGATCACTTTTAGATGCTCTTTGCAATAATGTATCAGGGAAGAAACCAAAGTATGCCTGCTAATATAATCCCCCAAACTATTTCTTACTGAAGCATGTTGCTGTAGTAATATACATCTCTCTGCCTTCACATTTATAAGGCACCATGTACTTACCCAAGACAGTGAGATAGGCCTTGGAAGTTTTGACAGGCATTGTAAATAAAGAACAGGTGTACTGTCCTTCATCAGAGAGAGACACATCGCTGACACTGATGCTCAATTCATGCCAGGAAGCCCGGACCAGCTCAATCCTATTGTCCCTTAAAGCTGCAAAGATAAAGTAGTGAGTATGAACAACAATATTAAAACAGTGAGTAATTTTAAACTACATATCTTTAACATAATAAACCTATTCTTTGGCCATGTGTCTTAACTCTTATTTCCAAAAACAGTTTTAAAAAAGATTTAAACATATTGTAGTATTTTATCAGAGTTAAGATCAAAATGGAATAAAGTGCACAGCAGTGTTCTTGCAAATAACTTTTTTAAAAATTAAATGATTGCATCTAGTACAATACTTTGGATGTGGTAGAAGCTGGTAGTTTCAGAAATGTCTTTACTGCACAATGTCTTTCGTAGAATGCCAATGCCAAGAAAACCAAAAGCAAGGTGAGATCACTCTAATGATTGAAAAATTGTGGATAACAATAAATGCTGCAAACTGGTCAAGATATCAACAAAGAATATTGGGATGTAAAAAGCTCTCTGAAGTAGGAGAGTTTACTAAACTGTACTTAACCCTGAGTTGATTGTAGCTAGAAAGCACCTGCAAGCTACCTGAGGCTCAAATTTACTCTGCTTCTCTTTTATACTATGCTCAACCATTCCTTTGTTCAAACTTCTTTTGCCATCACAGAACACATACTTCTACAAAAGCTCCTTTAATATTTTATCTAATTATGTTCCTTTTCACTTATTCAGTGGAGAGGGAGTGAGGAGGACAAAAATATAGCTATTATTATGTGGTCTACAAAGCAGAGCTACAAAATCCAGAATTAAGCAATAAATAAATGAGTGCTCTCAAAAGCAGAAAGAGGACATAGGAGTGAGTAGGAATATCAGCAGCCAAATAACAGCACTGTGTCTCCTCAATCAACAGTCAACAGTGACTCAGATCCAGCTTCTGCCTATTGCAAACCAGCATTAGATGCTAGCGTAGACGACTCTCTCCATGTACTGATCGAATAGAAATGTTCCCTGCAACACCTCAGTAGAGCTTGCCTGACATGCAAGAGGGATCAAGAAGGAACTTGATTAAGAACAAACATCTAAAAAAGCAAAGCAATAGCTTCCATCACCCCAAGACTCCCCTTACCCAGCTAGTGACAACTGACAATCCTCACAGAGGATTGCTGAGGGTCACTTCACGAGTATCAGTCCTGGAAGGGATCTTCCCAGAGAACCTTGTATTCTTAGAAAACCCTGTCCTGCTTACACAAAAGCCAACCAGGCAGCCTGGCTTAGGGATCTATGCTAAATGCCTCCTTAGCTTGCACCAGCAGAAATCTAGTGAGGCTTTAAAAAAACTATAAGGAACTAAATAGCATCACAATATGTAAAATTAAATTGTGAGGACCTTAGAATGTGATGAAAGCTATGACCTTGACACTAAGATACCAAAACTGAGTAGCTGTCTCAAAAAAAATAAATAAATAAAAAGACAAATTCAGAGACTCCAGAGTCTCTGAATGTAATAGACAAAATGCTTATGATATTATGAAAAAGGTCTTGAGTATACAAAATATCAGAAAAATTAGGATATCAAATAGGTATATTGCAATACCAGAGAAACCATGAAAAATGCATAAAAGGTGTCTCGCTCAAAGGTACTGTACAGAAATCAAGATAGAATTTATACAGTATTTTGAAATACAAAATGAAAAAGATACAGCACAAATAATTGGTTACCAAGGTATAGAGGTAGTTGAGACAGGGGAGAAATGAGGAATGTGGGTGTTGTTCTACAAGGACAGTGTACGAGGTATTTGTGGTGATAGGTATTCTTTGTGTGTTAACTGTGGCAATAAACATGCTTATCTGTACATATGGTAATATTGTGAAGAGCTGAATACGTCCACATATGTATGTATATACATTATAGTACGACAATACGAAAAACTGCTGAAAGGTAAATAAGATTAATGGACTACTCCAGTATCAATTTCCTAGTTGAGATACTATTTTAGACATTGCACATCATTAACTATGTGACAGTTCTTGATTAAATATCTGTAGCCATAAATAATTATACAAAAAAACTAAATTGAAAAAATATATATGCGCATTTGGTGGAGTAGGATTAATGGATAGAATATCGAAGCATCAAAATTTTATATACATTCTTTGTACACAAAGAAGGCTTATTGCTACCATATGTTTATAGATAACTTTTGTTTTCCCATGTTCTGGATAAGAGGAGCACACAATTTTAAACTATTTAATTTTTTGGAAACCTTATATTTTTAGAAATTTTAAATTTATATAGTCAAATAACAAGTACCTAAATCATTGCAGTTCCTTTTTTCCTTTTTTGCTATTCTTCATTAACTTCGATTTCATAAGGATTCATGAATTTCAAAATATTTTTGAAAACAGTTGTTATTAAATATGAACCTTTTTGAAATGTCTATTTAATACCTTTTCCAATAAAACATTATATATAAACACAATGTTTACTTGTTAACAGTGGAACACTGACTTCTAATTCTCATAATAGGAACTCATGCTACATCAACCACCTTTCAAAGCTGTAGTTTCACATATCAATATTGTACAAGTATATTTACATATACTATTCAATTTTCCCATACAATATTATATCTGCTTCTTTATCACAAATGTCCCAAAAGGGAACATCTCAAATTCTGACAATGACACTGCACAGGTAAAGACGTTATCTATTCCATGTTCAAGTTCACTTCCAATAACGCAGGTCATAGCAAAAAAGAGACAAAGTTTATAATTTTCAGATAACGTGGACAAATGCAATTTAATTTTCTTTCAGGAATCTACTGTCAAACGTAATTACTCAATGTGAATGGATATAAAATGTTCACATTTAAAGAAATTTTACAGAATAAAATTCAAAGTACTGACTTAAAAAAAATCCACCCTCTAGACACGTATATAAAATTAAGTTTCAGGTGAATAATAACTGCTCACTTATTTATATCATCAGATTATCTTGAGAAGTGAATGAGATCATGTATCATGTAAAGTATCTTGAAATACACATGTAATGATATGAAAATATTTATAATTTAGAATTTTCAGGATAACCTCTATATTCTAGTGGCTATAACATTTAATTAATCTACTTATCAAATTATATAGTACATCAAGCTAATTTTTGTGATTATTTTCAGCCATGAACAACTGTAAACTATGTTCAGAATACATTAATCTTACCTCATTCTTTTTACTGCTTAACAATATAAACTTACAGAATTCCCTTATGATCATGGTACACTTTTCGGGTTTGTGTTCAGTATAAGTAATTGTCGTAAGCGAGTAAACGTATAAGGTATATAGTTTAGAATTTGAGAGCTATGTTTAAATATGTGTTCAAAAACAGATATTCTCAAGAAACTTCTAAAATCATTTAAATTTTCATTAATAGCTTATTTCCCAAAAATCAGAGCTTCCTGATGATATTTTGCACATGGGAGAATGTTTTAAGTAAATCCTGCATTTGCGATGTTGATCTTTTCCAGCAGATAAATAAGAAGTCATCTCCACTTCCCCATAAAGCAGCACTTCAGTATCAAAGAATAAAGACAAACCTTTAATGGTCCGATAGGGAGACTGCAACTCAATTGGCTTCCTGTGAGCAGGAACCTTGCGTCACTGTCTCAGCACCCTGGGCCATTGCCATCTGCACAGTAGGCATTCAGCAAATGGCTATTGAACTGAAAGCGAGAGCTAAACTCTGTCTACATTCGATAAGAACAGAGGGAAAAAGAACTGAAGTAGGAAGTTCTCTTCAATATCTCTCCACAGGATCCTCCATGGGAAAGAAGCCAAAAAAAGTAGAAGAAAGTGTCCCATTTACACACTGGTGAGCATGAAAGAGCTAGAAACAGCACACTACACAAATTTTTAAGTAAAATGATAGTACATTGGAAAATGACTTCAAATATCAATGAGTTAACTTTGACAGTATTCTCATTTTATTTTTAAACATCCAATTTAACACGAAAGCCATTAGTTAGCCAGAAATCACCATATTATTTAACATTTCTACATAGTAAAGCCACAAACTGCAATGAATTTATGATCATAATCTTGTAAGTCGGAATGATTTTTGGAGAAATTATGATTTTTCCTTTGATGACTCTGTTTAATCAATACCTATGTATGCTTTTAAAAATAAATAAGAAATGAAATATTTTCTTTTAAAAAAAATTTCAAAGCATCATCCTACAAATGAATAATTGAAAGGATGAAATTAGCATATGCAATAAAAGGACAAAAAGAAATTGCTCACATATCATTAAAAAATGAGCTAATACGTTAACCAGGGCACTCTGAGGTCATGCCTCATCAGCCACTGGGTGTCCAACATTAATTAGCAAGGTGAATTCATAGGTCAAAACTCTTCAATTCTGAAGGATTTACTGTTAGTTGCAAATAAGAAGCACTGACCAATGTATGAGAATCTATTAAATAGTTCTTAACTGTGTGATAAGAATATCCTCCCAATATACCATTGATTCTGAATGGTCCATCAATCATAAAAATGTGTATTTTTATTTATGCTTGGTGAAATATAATGTTCTAAAGCAATTACTTGGAGGAACTTATTCACTTTTTATACCAACTGCAAATAAAACTTGCTGGCATATCTAATAATTTGTATATACATTTTTTAATGCTAACATGTCCAGACATATGTTGTGCATAAACACCCATTTTAGTTGTACTAAATTGAGCAAGTAGATTATGGAATTGATATTCCACAATTGCAAATGCTAACAGTGTTTTAGAAAATTTGTATTAAGTGAATATTGCCAACAAAATTATTTATCATTGTAATACACTATATTTTATAGACAAATGCCAAAGCAAACCTACCTCAAAGGGTAAATGTTATTTCAACTGTCCTATTGCCTATGCAAATTCTCACAAATGTCTCAATTACACCATTGCACTCTCATAGGTATTAGGCAAGAAAATCATTCTTCATATATAAGTGTTTATAAAATATGTTTCCTAATGTAAATTCAGCATCACAGATGGCACTTCAAAAAACATAGGACTTGCACTTG